CCATCAAGTGCATTCAAACTTGAAAACGTCTGCTGATTCAATGAAGTTATCTTATGATAAGAGATCTACTGAAGTCAGCTTTATACCAAGAGACAAGGTGGGGTTGTATAATCCCAGGAAGACCAAAGGGAAGTCTCCTAAGTTGTCTTCTCCATGGGAAGGCCCATATAATATAGTGGATCGTCTCTCAGGTGGTGCATGCCAACAGGCTTTGGCGTTATCACGGTCCAGGACATTTCAGTTAGGATGAAGTGAACAATGGAACAAATGACGCTGCTGAAGACGTGTCACCTGAAAAAGCAACTGTCGAAGAAGAAACTCTACTCGGTTTTGAGAAGGGAAACAGTGAAGCCCTTGATGAAGTTACTACCACTGATGTGACTGTTACCAATGATAGGACGTTTCCTGATGAAGCAGGTGAACCCCACAGTGAAGCAGAAGCCAACGAGACGGAGACCAGTACGGAAGAAGATACGTCCCGTAAAATTAAGAGACTTTGTTGAATTTTAATTTTGTGTTTGTAAATTCTGTACATTTAATTAAGTTATTGTTAATTGTTTATTGGTTTAATGTAAGTGGCTATTGTTCGGGACGAACAATACCAAAGAAGGGGCAGTGTTATGACAGCGGGGGTCACGTGACGCTAGTAACACGTCATATTTTCGAAGGTTCACGTCCCTTCCTGAAGTCTCGAGAGGCTACTAGATATGCGGTAGTCTTGTATATATAACTCAACTGTCAATTACACATTGTTGCCGTCACTTCTTGGCGGCGTAATTGAACTACAGACAGAGATAGATACGGACAGTTGAGTCGAGCACGTGAGATGTTTGTTGTGAATAATAGCGTTTGTTATAGCGTGACTGTGGAAAATAAGTGTATTGCAAAGTTGTATTCAGAAAGAATAAACCAGTTTTATTTAAAAAAGGACTTGTATCGCTAAAGTTTCTTTGGAAAGAATTTTTACGGAAAATTAACTAACGACCAGAGAAGTAACAGACTTAAGCCTGGTGCCAAGTAGTGACATTGTAAACAGACTTGGTGCAGTCGTTTTCCAGTAACCTTTTATACACATTACTAAAATTCGACTGTCACTTCTTTGTTGAGCAATTTGAAAGGTAATTAGAGATTATGAATTTCATTGTTACATGGGGTTCTGTGAAATAATATTTCAGGTGGTGTAAGTTTATAGTCAACAGTAGTTGTATGCATAATTATAGCTAACTATAGAAGTTATAAAATATATCCGTCTTTCGCTACATCATTTATTACATTTCAAACCACTTTACTAAATGTCTGTCGTCTCTTTTACTTGTAAGTAATATACCTTACCTCAGAATTAGATCGTTCACGTGATACCAGTAGTTAGGACTGCACTTCATACACCGCATGCTGATTGGCTGCTTCAGGGAGAGGAAAGGGGTAGAAACGATAACGTCATAGCTCTACGAAGTGGAAACATTGGGCTAGGCTGTCGTGACAAGCGGAAGTTGCCATGACACTTGACAGTGGAAGTTGTCATACAGGAGTGTTTTAATGGCATGTTGTGAGGCCTACAAAACAGATGGAAATTGTAATCAGTCATGACAATGAAAGTTGTCTGCTATCAGAGTGAACATTGCTAGGTGTGATATTATAGTTCGAGTGTTACACAACATAGAACATGTTACTAGAGCCACGAAGTGGCAGCAGAGGGTGGAGTGGTATGATGAGAGTGCAGATAGATCAACATGACATTAGCTTTATAGCAAATCTCAAAGTATTAAAATTAACAATGTTATGTTTACAGTTTTTCATTGTAAGTGAAACAATCTGCTATTTTAATCTTACTAACTTTTAGTTTTCTATTACATACATATTGTAAAACAAAGGTGGACTGTGTTACGGAGAGTAGTGTTAGTATAGGCAGTGGATGACGAGATCATTTTAGGGTGCCTCAACATGTGATGAACGTCTATATTTAATTATGTATAAAACTATTATTTGTATTTTATATTTCTTTAGTGTAACAATAAAAGAGTTATTGGCAAATTATTTCATTTTGTACATTTTACTTTATAGTTTTCACTTACGTATGTTTTTACAAAGGTTGACAATGCTTTTATGGGCAAATAGTGTTATTATTTCTACAGTTCCATAGTATCTTAACATAATCACTGTTTCACTTTTACAAATAAAACCATAATTTAATGACACAGCTATTATAACACTGCCACATATGTCAGTTTCTATAGCACATACTATCCATTATTTGAGCAATGTAAATATTATTACCAATGATTTAACTTGCATTCTTTTACAATTATTTTCTTGAAAAGAATGATTGTTTAAATTAATGTTTAGCTTTATAAGTCGATTACTTATAAGCAGTAGATTAGAAATTTAATATTCACCATATGTTTACTTAACTAGTGATGGTCAGTTTTTGTGAGTCACTAATTTAAAAGTCAGTAAACTTAGTTTACTGGTTCTTTCACTTTACATAGGGATACAAAACAATAAATATGTATTCATGATATTTTATTTCTCAAAATTTTACGGGATATGTGCATTTCAATTAGCATACAATTGTTGTATACTTTCTGTTCAATTATATTCCATGAAGTGATTATTCATGTTGCTAACAAACGTGTTTAACTATCTAATTACAAGACTCTGTATAGATATGTCATCATAAATGTATGTAAGTAAAATCACAAACTCTAAATAAGACCGATGTCACACACACTGGAACATTTATTCACAAAACTGAGTAAAATATCTGACTTAACAGGCATAATAGATTTTGAAACATTGAGATGGTAAGATGTGATATGTTATATTTTACACATATAAACAGAACATAAGGTTTTGTTATTCAGTTGCAATTAATGTTCAATCTCAAATGTAACAGATTTTCGAAGACTGACGAAAGATCAAAGTTTAGATAATTATGTGTCCAGTATAATCTTTTAGGATAAACTCGAAAAGCAAGACAAATGAACATTTGTTTGTTTGTAATTAAGCACAAAGCTACACAATGGGCTATCCGTGCTCTGCCCACCACGGGTATCGAAACCCGGATTCTAGCGTTGTAAGTCTGCA